GGGCAAAACAAGACTTCGCAATGAGTGAGCGAGAGGCGGAGGCTTAAGTAGTCCCGGTAATAGGCTGCAGGTGAGCTCGTAATCAGTGCTGGGTGCGGGGTGATGGGAAATGTAGTTTCGAGGGGAAAGTCAATACTCGGGTGATGGTGACCTCTGGTGACGATCAGGGGGAACCACAGAGGCCGGATTCGTTACAAGAGCGAGTGCCAACTCCTCTAACAGCTTGCTTGTAAAAAAAAGGATGTTGAGTTAATCTTACTTATTTTTTTGGCAGTCAGCCTTCGTTTATTTATTATTACCTCCATCACTAACACTGTCCTACTTTCTCTCTCCCTCACCTTCATGTTTCCTCCTTGCACTTTCTGATACGTAAGTCCTCTTAATTTTGAGAGTACCACATGTACATTCATTTAAACAGTTACAATCCTGCTAATGAGATGAGGCACTGTATTTGGGAAGGGGGGTGGGGGGGGGGTGTATTGCTTTGCTGTAATTTGTTCATCTGATGTATTATTCAGGTTACTACATTTTCGTTTGATATTTACATGGACTTTGAGGGCCTTCTTAATGCTGAGAACTCCATACACTGACCTCACCTGTCTGTAAAAGTCCATAAAAATGTGTGCAAGTTGACTGAATGCAGCAGGGAATGACACGGATACGGATATTGAATATTGTTAATAAAAGAACATGACACACACTTCACTTCCTGCTTATGCATCAGTGAGTAAATTGAGTTAGAAATGACTGGGATGATTCTATTTTGATTCATCCCTCTGAATACTTTACGCTCCGATCAGTTTAAGATTAAGGGCACACTGGGCAATAAACAGGATGTTGAGTGTGTGTTCCTGCTGTTCTGTCCACGGTGCTTCGTCACGCCTCATTAGTGTACTGGAATGCTAATTACTCGACTTGTTTGATGTACAGCCTTAAATTAAGGCAACAGCTCGAAGGGTATTTGTAGCCTTACACCATTAGATGCTTGTGATGCTCAGAAAGATTTTAATTTAATTAAAACTTTAATTGCTTTCATTTTAGCTAAAGTGTTACTCTACTAACAGTTTTCAGAAGCTAATATTTTATACTTATGTATTAAGTGTAACATAACTTATGCACTGATACAAGACTAGTGTTTTACGAGAAATCATCATCTGAAACTAAAAGTTGTCTAAATATTCAGATTGCATATTTTTTTTTAATTATACTAGTTTATACTTTATACTAAGAGGAATGCATTTTAAAGAAGAATATTTGGAAAATATCCATCCATCCATTTTCTGTATTGCTTATCCTACACAGGGTCGCAGGGAGCCTGGAGTCTATCCTAGGGAACTTGGGGGACACCCTGGATGGGGTGCCAACCCATCACAGGGCACAATCACACACACACACACTCATTCACTACAGACAATTTAGAGATGCCAGTCAGCCTACAGCTCATGTCTTTGGACTGGGGGAGGAAACTGGTGAAGCACAGGGAGAACATGCAAACTCCTCACACACAGGGCAGAGGCGGGAATCGAACCCCCAACCCTGTTGGTTCAAGGCAACAATGCTAACTACTAGACCACCATACCCCCCCTATTTGGAAAGCAGTAACACTGAAATGCAGTAGGTCTCGCTGGCAAACTGAGTTGGCGACTGAGTTGGTTCAGAATCAGGTTACATACCTGCTTAAGCTGATTTTCTGAGTGCTTCATTCAGAATTACCTGTGTGTAGATTATGTCTATGAGGTTGCCAGATTTTTCTTGAGTAGAAGCATCTGAGATGGGGTTTTTTCAATAGTGTCTAAAACTTCAAACACAAGCACTTGCCTTTAAGCCAGAAAAAATAAGGGATAGAAAATGCGGACTGAATAAGGAAGCATAGGTTTAGAGGGACTTTAAAGGAGCTTAAAGCTTGTCCCGAGCTCTGGAGTGCTGATTTGTCCATCCCTGCATATCAATCTTGTTCAAATAGTGTAGTGGAGTGAAAGTTTGATACGTTGATATACATTTACACTGTGTGCTTATGACAGATTGTTGATATTAATCATGCATAAGATGCTGTAAATAAGCTGTATATGAACATTTTTTCTAAGAGACTACATCTCAATAAGAGCTTTGGATTTAATACAGAACGAGCGAATATTGTTGTGGTTTTTTTTTTAGTGTTTGTGTTTGACCCAGACTTTTTCACCCACTTGTAGGAGCAACCCATAAACTATAGATAGTGTTTGTGTGCAACATTCTTACAACTTCAAATCATCATCGATGA